TCGGCTGTAATATTTTTCGGCTAAAATACGTTCGGCTGTAATATTTTTCGGCTAAAATACGGTTCTGCTAATTTACTTGTCCAACCAATTATTTTTCGGCAGAAATATTTTACGGCTAGAATACGGATCGGCTAATATATTTTCGGCCATTATACGCGCTCCCGTACTATTTACCTAATATTTGTTTAAGATTCGAAGAGAGGAATGTATTTATTTCACTATTGCCCATACAATTTATCAGAATTTCGATAAATTAACGGGATATGTCAATATTTTCAACAATCGATAACCTTATACAGTGATATTAATAAATTGCGATATATTACCACTCAGACTGGTTAAGAAATTGTGTTTCAGTGCACACATTATTAACTTTTAAATTTATAGATTATAATTAAAGTAGAATTCGCTTATTACGACTGTATATAACGATATTCAGAATAAAACGATTCCCAGCTATGTACTTGGTTCGTTTTATATCTCACATGCAGTCAGGAGCGTAATTATTTTATATTACATTGGGGATCAAATTGTAACATAATAAGTAAAAGCAACGAAAAGTATGTTGGTCACTTGGTCTCCAGTAATATATAAAAGAAAAATGGATCCAATATATTATATACAATGTATAATACTATACATATTATACGCAATACAAACCTATTTTTATGAATTTTGTTGGGGTGTCGTGCAGATTCTTTGCCTCCTTGGATTTACGCGGTGTATTTTTTCATCCGGATCGAACGAAGTTTAGATATAACGATCTGATTCTTTAGGTTCTTTGAAAATCATTATAAGCGAATTCTACTGTATTTAATCTATAATATCGTTAACACTATACGTAGATACAAGTAAAATCTAATTATACATTTATAAACATGTACTTAATTCTGTTGTACATCAACATTTTAATTCATTATAAAAATAAAAACTGAGAACATTTAATGCAATTGCCAATCAAACAAATAAAAACCGAAAATTTAGCAACAATGACAAGCTATAAGTGTGTAGTTATCGGGAGTATACAACTGAATAAACTAGGTACTTCTAATTTGGAAAGTATTTATAATCAATATATGAAAATTATTTTACGCGAAAATACGATTTTATTTTTATGATAAATAATTGTTTGTTATTGAAACTAATTATTTTCACCTTTAGCCACATTTTATTTTGTCATTGTATTATAGTAAGTTATTTATAATCATATTTTTATTTGATACCTGTCTAAAACTAATAAATAATAACAATCAAACTGTAGGTTCAGATGGTACAATGTAATTTAGATCGCCATCCAATCACTGAGTTTTAAAATGTCAGAAAGCATAAATAATTTATTTTAATGTTCAAAATACAAAATAAATGTACAATAGATGTTTATGATTTATGATAAATTCTATTATTAGTGGAATTTTAAAATCACAGTTGCTATAAACTATGAAATATAAAATACAAACCATATTTAAGTGATGAAACTTTCAACTAATATTTTTAACTGAAATATGTTTTTCCCAATAGAAATGTTCTTTAAACTAAGTACACAATACATAAAATAAATAAATGATAACTCATAAAACTTTATGCTATCCATTTTAAAATAAATAAAATTTCAATAAAACCAAGTTAATTTTTCATAAAGCTGGTGCTTTTTTTGTACAACAATAATTACCAATTACTATGTATTTACTGTGAGAACAATATTTACCAATTATTATTTTGTAATTACTGTTTCAAATAACTGAAAATATATAGCTTTAAAGTATAAAAATAAATACAATTGTGTGCATTAATTTTGTATACTAACGTTTTGTATAGTATCAGAAATTATTGACACTTTCACATGTGATCATTTACATTGTTCTTTTTTAAAGAAATTTAAACATTAAAACTCAATAAACATAATTTCAATGAATAAAACCTAATATCTGAGTTGAGAAAAAGTATAGTTTTACATGTACTTACCCATGTTTATGAGCTATTAAACCGTGAATGTCTGCAACTGTTGTAAAGTATGATGCAAATGGTAATACTTGTACAGTTTTGGAACTTAAATCACAACTCCATAAGGAAAAAATAATTTTCTGATCCACAGATGCAGTTATAACAAATTGATTAAATACTTTAATACCTACAATATTTTTAAACAATCAGTAGTAAACTAGTAGTTATGTAATTACAAAGATTAAATTAATTAATAAAAAAATAATACCTGTAACTTGAGAACAATGGATAGAAATAGATACATTACACAATAATGTTACAGTATCCACATAGTGAAAAATTGATAAACTTAAAAGCTGGTCATCTCCACCCGTAGTTATTAAACCATAATTATTTTCAATTTCCAACCAATCACAACAGTTTATACCAGATTGGTGTATACAATGTCTATATTTAGGCGTACAACTTAGATCAACATCACTATTGTCAACATATTTTGAAATGTCCCAAAAATTTACAAATCCTTTTGTATCAGTAGTTAAAACATAATGTAAACTATTTAATTGAACTAGTAAAATCTTCAGTATACAGTTACTACAGTCCAAATTGTCTTCAATTAAATTCAAAGTTTTATTGTTTAAATCATAATTATATAACCTGCAATTTTATAATTTATTAATATAATGTATATTGTTAATTCATCACAATGCATTATGTGCCTATTTAGATATTTTTACATGTATTTGTATAACCTTGCATGAGTAACACCAAATGATTTTAGATCAGCCTCACAATTATTAGGATGAAAAGCAAATGTTAATTTTGCAACGTTAAGAAAAATTGGTTAAACAATGAACTAATTAATAGGTAAATGCTTTACATCAATACTAAAAAAAGTTTTTAAAAAATAATATGAAGCGGTGATAAACATAACATAAGCTTTATCTCCTAAGTGTTAAAACTATGGCGGGAAATGAGTAAACTTAAATATGATGCTTGGTTAGAGATCAAAATTGTTCCAGTTTTAATCAAATATTCCTATAGTACATATAATAACAATGTTTTACTTTGCTTCCTTATTAAATCCACTTATTTGTGAGATTTTTACCATTAACATAACTATTTGTTTTTATTACCTAAGAATTGCATCAGAACATCCAACAGAAATTAAAATTGATTTTGACTTTGTATATTGGATACAAACATCCATAAAGCGTGTCTCACCTTCATTTGAAGGTACGACTGTTCTCCAAGGTTTTTTTTCTTGTTTAGTTTTCAATAAATGTGATATTGATTCTTCACAATACACATCTATCATAATACAAAAACAATATATATAAGTAAAATTACATAAAATAATATAAATATTAGATTCTAAATACTAACTATTATTTGTTATATTCAAAGTCCAAATTTTCAACTGAGCTCTACCACCAGCTGTTACGATAATGTAAACATTAGGATTTAAATTAAGACAAGATACAGAACGAACTGATGATATATGACTTCTTAATGTTAACAAATTATCAACCTCATCATTAAAACGAGTCAATCTAACAGTAGTGTCATCACTGCCGGTTATCATTAACTCATCGGTAACTTGTGCCATGCAATTTACAATCATTGAATGAAAACCTTTCTAAAATATATTAAGATCATCAATAATATTATTAATAAGTAGAATATTCAAATAATTTATTGGTTGTTAACATACTAGTAACTTTACTAGTTGCTTACTTAATTTACCAATAGCATATGATGACCATGCAAGGGTATTTCATTTGATTCTAATTTATTAGTTGAAGAACTGCAAACAAAATATATTGAATCACAATCATTGATAAACGTCAAATCCCATGCTCTATGACCACCACCACAAGGGACGGTCGCCAAAATTCTTTGTTCAATTGGACTATACACAATTAAATTGCTCTAAGACAAAAAAATGTTATAAATAGTAAAAATGTAATATTACTAAAGAATTTTAAAAATATTCAATGGTGTGCATCAAAGTCTAATATTCAAAAATCATAAATTAAGAATTTAGAATTTAGTTTATTTTTCTTATAGAAATAGGATTAAAAAATGATATTGCTAAAGTTAAGTTTAATTTTACACACATTATAGGTATTCTCAATATGCTATGGAAAAAACCTTCTCTAAGTATTTGATTCATAGTTGAATTCTTAAATATAATGTAAAATAAATGTATTATAAATAATTTTTACATATTTCCATGGATAAAAACCAAATAAATTACACTAAATATGGAAATAATGAAAGTAGGAGAAAGTATCGGCCTGAGAGTTAACATGGAAAAACAAAGAAGATGATAATAACAAGAAAAATAAAAATTTTAACAGCCATAACTATAGGTACAACCAGAATAGAATAGATAAGAGATTTTAAATACCTAAGGATGACATTAGATATGTAAGATAACATACATGGTGAAATAAATATAAAGCTGGCCACAGCCAAATGATACTATTTTCCTCTAGCACCCCTACTTAGGTCAAAATTAATATAAAAATAAAACAAAAGAGCAATTATATTATATTAGTTACGTGAGAACAGTAATTCCATATGCTTATGCCAGTCAGGTGACTACAAAAGGTGACAAATAAAAAGTACTAAATTTGAGAGGAAGATACTATAAAAAATAAATGGCCCAATTAATAATCCCAAAGAGCAGAAATGCAAAATAAGATCAAATAACCAATTAAAAGTACTTCATAAAAGAAAAAATGTGGTTCAGTTTGTTGGGAGCACAAGATTAGAATGGGCGGGGGTATGTTTGCCTGACCGATGGTAGAATAATGAATACAATCGTTTAATCATATGTTAAGAAATGGAAGGCACGAGACCAAGGGGAAGGTCAAACCGAAAATGGATGGACAGCGTACAAGAGATTATGATGGAACTTATGCAGTCATGAGAAGTAAACTCTGGAAGTATCAAAAAAAAAAAAAAATTGAAAAACTTAGTTTCAGCAGCAAAAAGCTTAAAATAAGCTAGCAAAATTTAAAAAATGTAAGGAATGAGTTAGAATGGAGAAAATAAACATGATTCAAGATTGTAATATTATAGTTTAAATTAAGGTACATTAGTCTTTTGTAAAAAATATATTTCTTCTCAATAAATTATGGTATTTACTTAACGAAGATTAATTAAAAAACTGTAAGTAAATCTTACTTCTTTAAAACCGCAAATCAATAATCCATGAACTTTAGAGTTAGTTATGACAAACGGCCATTTTGTAGGTAATATATCACAGCGTATTTCAAACACTGATTCTGATTGTGTACTGACATTCCAATATCTATGATGACCATCTCGTCCTACTGAACTAACAACCGAAAAATATGAATACTTTTCATGTATCCACATTGCAGTAACACCAGCGAAACTGTGAATTCTACTGAATACTTGTAATGGTTCCTGAAAGAATATTCATAAGCTTTTAAAAATTGTAACAATTAATGTTAAGAAAAAATAAACAATTGTTGTAAAATGTTCAAATAAATTATAATATTAAAGAGAATGGAATCAGTGATATTCTATCTTTGTTTAACAGATGTGCAACATAGAAATTTAGACATATTTTAATTTCCAATCAAAGGAAGCGGTATAATATCTTTGAAGATATATTGTAATATCCCACATATTTAATTCTTACTTTTTCAAAAATTTAAAATTGTCAATTTTTTAAATGCTGCTATTTTAGAACTTATAATAGTTGAATAAAAAATGTGGGAAATCAATCTCAATCAACTTAACAACAAATTCTAAGGTTTTTAAAATTCTTATCTTATTATATTATATCAATTGGTAGGTTGAAAGTAGAACATGTCTAACCGCGAAGTATGTGTGTTAGACAAAAACAGAAAAATCACCTACCCCAGTCCAACATTATTTTGATATTTTCACAAACTCAGCTTAAGTTAAGAATTAATAAGTCTTCAGATTTCTTATAATTTTTTACTCAGATTAATATTAAAATTTAATAAAATAAAAAATACCTGCTGATTTAATTTGAATAAATAAATAGATCCTTCATTACAACCAGCAAAGATTAGGTCTTCAACTAATACTGCAGCTGTTATCCAAGAACTAGTTTTTGAATAAATGCAAAATGTATCCAAATGATTTAATTTCAGGTCTTAAAAAGATAAATAAATGAAAATAAAAATAAATTATACATACTCTTAATAATAATTTATAATAGTAAAAAATAATAAGTCCAAGTAAACAATTTTACCTTCAAATACTTTGTAACGAAAAATTGTATTTCTTATAAAACATACGATTATTTGATTATTATTCAGCCAAATAGTAGATACAATTTTATCTGGAGAAATTTTATCAAAAAATACTTGAACACTGGTGCCTAAGAAATATATAAATTAAAAATTTAGAAACATCAAAATACACATTTGTAATTGATAATAAGTTGGAATTTACTTTTTAGAATAACTATATGTCCACTACTAGTTGTAAAAGTTACTTTTGTTTCACAAGGGGATTTCACCATTGTCAAAGTGCAACACAAGACATCATTTTGATAGATATTGTGACTGGAATTGTTTTTGTACAAAACAACATGGCCATCAGAATAAAGTACATATGTGCCAGTGTTATTCAGCACAACTAAATGTTTTGGATAGCGGTTATCTTTTTTATAGTCAGCCAAAATTTCACTCTTAGGAACAGTGTCTAGTGACCATAATCCAACACTCCCAGTCGTACATCCACTAGCTGCAAGATTTTTGATTTCCATACAGTCTAAGCTACGAACTTGGGAACCTCTACTTTCTTCCCATTGGTAGGTTCTTGAAGAAGTTTTCAAACATATTTGACCATCCTAAACATAGTATTTACACATATTTCATATTTATTAAAGGAAATTAGGTAATAGAAATGTAAAAGGTTCAAATTTTTACTTCTCCAGCACTCAATATATTGCCAGATTGCATTAAAATACTTTTCCAAACTCTAGCTTTGTGTGCATAAAATGAATAGGCTGGTGTTATCTTTGCAAACTTCCAGTGATCATAAGTATTTTGGTGCTCAGCGAATGGTTCAACATTCCAGATGACTATACTTCGATCATCAGAAGTAGAACTTATAATGGAATTGGATTTGTCCACCGTGATTGAAAATATAACACCCTATTTTAAAAATACATGGATACAAAAAGCAATAGCAATTAATTAGAATTTATTCTAATAATAAGCAACCATTATTTCTTACTTCATGCCTTTGTAATCTATGTAAGATATTGAAGCCATTTGATCTCCTAAAAGGACTCCAAATTACTATTTCCCTGAAAACTGTACCTGAAAAAACAATAATATTGTCTTCGTCTTCACCAATTGATGTTGCTGAATATCTGCTCATTGTAATAAATAGGATTACTAAATAATGATTATTAAAGAATTTTAAAATGCTTATAATATATAAGTTGTATAATAATCTGACTTTGAATTTACTTGGAATACAGGGGGCAAAATATCATCAGTTCAAAATAGAAACAAAATATATCATGATTATTAAATATTATAAGCTATTTGAAAAACTTATTCAATATTAATTCAGAACAAAAATATTTTTGGGTGTAGAACATACACTATGCATTAGATCGACTACATTTTTTTATTAATAAATTATACTCATAAATCATAATGCAAAAATGTTTGTAATGATATGCTATAAATTATTTTATAAAAGGATACAGTATACATATTTCATCACAACTCGACGAATTTATTTTCTCTTTAAGTTCCAAGCTCCAAACAGTTGCTACATTATGTGCAGATACTGTTAATAAACAATTTGAATTCATCCATAGAATGTTACAAACCCAATCAGTGGTTATTAGAACACAATCAAATTCAATACTATAAATTTAAATAATTATTTAAAATTAATTCTATTAATGCGATAAAATGCAAAATGCTAATTACAGATAACTCATTGGCGCCAACAGTTTATAAATTGCCACATATTTTTCTCCGTGAATGGCAACCAACATTTGTTTGTCATTAAACTGAATACCGTGTATCGAAGCTTTATCAAAGATTTTTCTACGCAAACAAAGTTTTCTGGACTCCGTGTCGTAGACCAGCAAAATATTACCAATACCTAAACGAAAAACAATTTGTAATTAAGTGAGACTGCATATAAATCAAATGAGCCATAAATTACACACCAACTAATAGAAATCGATCAATAAACTTAACACATGAAACTGTATTGATCAAAGATACGGATTTAAATAATTTTGACTTCTCGACATCTTTGCAGGAAAACATGATTTCGTCACAATCCACAAATCAGTAATAACTTAACAATACGACTAATCTAAGTAAAGATGACGAATGATCAGTATACTTGTAATGTAAAACGGTCAAAATAACCGAAAAAGCAATAATAATTTATATTTGTTACTTGTTAGTGGTAATTTGAATTGCATATTAACATTTTTGATTTTTATCTCTTATCACTCCAAGACACGTGCGGGCAACACAGACTTCTATACCACAGAACAATAATAAAATTATATATATAGAAGTCTGTGGTTTCAACAAATCTTTATCAGTAATAGTGATAAGCGGTTTGGACAATGACGAATGACGAATGAACAGTTTAAAATTTTAAATTCAAATCAAAGGCAAAACCACAGTTTGACTGGCGTATTCACTGTTTGACTTTCGTGTTCAAAGAACATTATACTTAGGATAATTTGTTCTTTCTGTACATATAAAAAGTTTAATCATTATTCATTGTAAATAATTAAATAGTTTTAATTCGTTTTTTCAAAGTTTGAAATGTCTTCAACTGAACCTAGCCTGCAGCACATATCTGCACTTAGGAAATATTTTGGACATTCCACATTTCGGTCCATGCAATGGGAAATCATATATTCAGTTTTAGAAGTAAGACGTCAAGACTAAATGCCCTGGTTTCTGATTATTTTTAGATATATATATTATGTTTATTATAATTATTATGTTTACAGCAAAAGAGAGACGCGTGTGTAGTTATGTCTACTGGTTATGGAAAAAGTCTTTGTTATCAGTATCCGGCAGTTTATAGCAAAGGCTTAACCATAGTTGTTTCCCCGTTAATATCTTTAATGAAGGATCAAGTACTTTCTCTGGAGGTTTGGATTAAATTTGTTAAATTTGTTTATTTTTTTATCCATGCTTAATTTTTCACATACATTATTTCTGTTCTTTACAAAAATGTCCTAATAATGCCAACAATTGAGCTTAATTGCTAAAGACAAAGCTTTAAAAATGAAAAAAAATATGCCAACAAGACTAAAGAAGTAATTTAAATTATTCACAATTGAATTTTAAATGTTTTCTAGATGGCCAATATAAAAGCATGTCTGCTAGGTTCAGCTCAAACATCTAAGGCAGACGCTTTGAATAGTCTTTTTTCTGGAGAAGTAAGAGTGTTATATATAACTCCAGAATGGATAGCCACTGATTCAGCAAAACAGATTTTACAAGATTTACAAACAAAAATCAAAATAGTTGCTGTAGCTATTGATGAAGCACATTGTGTCAGTCAGTGGGGTTTTGATTTCAGATCTTCTTATAGGTCAGTGGAAATATATATTCTTTAACGCCTATTTTCTATTATCTATGTATTTATTTTAGGAATTTAGGGAAATTACGCAACTTACTACCCAATGTGCCAATCATGGCATTAACAGCCACTGCTACACCAATTGTGCGCAAAGATATTTGCAGTTCATTGAATCTCATGTATGTATGATTGATATAAATTTAACCCGTTGTTGGTCGCATCTTTTTTTTGTATTCCTTTGATCGGGTGTTGAGAAATTTTCTCACTTTTTTTAATATACCATAGAATATGTTTTAAGCTACCAAAACATTTATATTGTAATTTGTATTAACTATTCTGTTATGAGCTCTCATTAACTATATATATTTTCTTTTATATATTTAAATTATTTTTATTTTTTATTTCTATTTTTAGATTTAATGTACCCGAAAATGTATAGCATATCTATTAGGCAATAAACTATGTAAAATACAGTGGCAACCAAAATAATATCATGGTGAGACAATCTCTCATCACTCTGCCAATGACGGGTTAATTTGTAAAACTAAGATTTTAATTGAATGAATCTCTATTAATTGGTGTTTACTTTTAGAAATCCCAAATTTGTGTGTACAGGATTTGACAGGAAAAATTTATACTTTGAAGTATCAAAAAAAACAAGTATATTTTTTGACTTGAATAAATTTATGAAAAAAAATGGGTTAAAAATGTTTTTTGAAGGAGCCACAATTATCTATTGTCCTACAAAAAAACAGACTGAAGCAGTTGCACAAGAATTAAAATGTAAATATTACTTCAAAGTTCCTATTGATTTTATTATTAATCTGATTTATTGCAAAATTATAAATATTATTTTATTTTAGCTAATAGAATAGAATGTGAAGTTTATCATGCTGACATTCCATTGCATAAAAGAAATGCTGTTCATGAAAATTTTGTAAAAGATAAATTACAAATTGTTGTAGCTACAGTGGCTTTTGGGATGGGAATTGATAAACCAGGTAAAGGTTTTTATTGATAACGTATATTTTTAAATTTAATTAGTGTATTATTTACCTAAAAAATAATTTACCATCAAAAATTAAAAAACAATATTATTTTTTACTTAAACTGAAACTGTTGTGTGTATAATTTTTCTAATATATTTGAAGAGTTTACATTTATTACTTACTTATTTTTATAACTATATTTAGTAGTTGTTGATTTCTTTTTTGATAGATGTAAGACGTGTTATTCATTATGGAGCACCTAAAGATATTGAGTCATATTATCAAGAAGTTGGTCGAGCAGGAAGGGATGGGTTGCCAGCAATGTGTCATATATTCTACAATGAAGCTGACATTGTGCTCAATAGACATATAATGCTTTCAAATCTCACAAACGACACATACCGCTCACATAAAGAAAAGATGGCTAAGGTCATTGAACAGTACATGGAGACTAGATTGTGTAGACGTCAACTATTACTATCCTATTTTGAGGATGTCATTCTGTCAACTACATCTGATACTAATATCATTAGAACAGACTGCTGTGATAATTGTACAAATAAGTAGGACTTTTTATTTTTAGAAACAAAATATTTAATATTAACTGAAATCTGTTATTTCTTTGAAAAACAGCCAGAAGACTGACAAATTTCAACCTGATAATAATGTAGATCTAACTGAAGATATACTATTAGTCTTAAAATGTGCACAAGCACTAGGTGGTTATTTTGGACTTGTGGCTATAGTAAATTTCATTTGTGGTAAAAAGAATGATAAATTATCTAAATATAAGACCCATACATTGTACGGAAAAGGAGACTATAACACAGAAACTTTTTGGAAAGCACTAGGTATATAAATTACTTTTACAATAATATACTATTCTGATGAGGATTGTATATCAAGTATAATACAATTTTGTGGTGATCCAGGTAAATTGTGTTTGAGAGAAAGTTTACTGAAGCAAAATCCTTGCACTTCATTCAAGGAGGGCAGCACATTTTCTTTTCCAATCAGTACTGTTGCAGTTTCAGACAAAGGATACGAGTTCATAAAATAGTAATATTATAATTTAGTATATTAATTATAACTTATTAATAAAAATGATCCTTTACTGTTTTGATTATAGTGGAAAAAAATCAGGTATTCTAATAGACCCGTCTTTGGATGTTTTAAAATTGTTCAAATCGAAATCAGCCATTAAGTAATACAATTCATAAACAAATATTTTATCTAACATACCTAATTATATTTATTTATTTAAGATTCAAAGATGCTCATAAGAGTTGTGATACCTTAGATATAAAATTGAAGTATCAGCGTGAAGAAAAAATATCACAACTTACACCAAGTACACAAAATTACAGTTCTCAACAACCAATTGAAAACACAGAACTAGAAGTAAGTATTTGAATTAATGTTGAATGTAACAAAATGCTTATAACCTTATATTTTGTAGAATACAATTTATTCGACTCTGGTGATGTATAGAACCACATTGGCTCAACAATCAGACTGCATGCCTTATATGATTGCAAATAATAAAATGTTAATTGACGTGTCAAAATTAAAACCTAAAAATGTATCTGAATTGAAAAATGGTAAAAAAAAATGATAAATTATTTGTCTTTAAATGTAGATTTTTATTTTAACTAACAAAAAACATTTGTTTTTGACTATAGTCGAAGGGTTTACTGAAGCCAAAATTGATCGTTTCGGTCAAGCAATAGTGGATAAAGTGATAGAAGTTTGTAATACTTATCCAGAAGAATCAAAGACTGAAAAAGTGAACGAATGTGAAACTAAGTAAGTATAGCTTATGAATGTTATCTACTCATGTTTATTAAGTTTTATTGCCTTTTTTTCTAGTAACTCAAATTTCAGTGTGTGTGATGACTTTTGGGATGAATGTGATGATTCCATCTTTAGTGAAATATGTGATACAGATGAAATAAAAAAATGTGATGTTGATAGAGATGTAGAAATAAAGGAAGTTCATAGTAGTTTAATTCCAAAAAATGAAGAAAACCCAACTAAAAGAAAATATTGTGCTACTGAATCAAGTGGGGTGTGTCAAGAAATAATAACCGAACGCAATAAAATTATGATTAAAAAATTAAAAAATAACTCCCTGTTTAGATTTTGAAATGACATCATCTATACATGATTATAATATATTTTTCAGAAGATTAATTATTTTATTTTTGTACTCAAATTATAAATAATTATTTTGTCCAAAAACTGTTCGTTCAAAAGTCAACATTTATAAATAAATATATTTGATCTAATATGTTATACTTAATATATGATTATACTCAAAAACTGGCAAGTCATTCAATATTGATTACTTGAATTAGGTACCTATCTTTATTTATTGCATTATTACTGTTTCTTTAAATTAAAATATATTTGTAGATAATCATTCATATTGTCAATCTATTATAGACTAAGTATTATACTATAAACACTTGAAATCTTTTCGATAACAAGTTCAAGAATTTTTTCTAATAAATCATGTAAGAACAATTAAAGTTGTTTTGTGTATGGTATCCCAAGAACTTTGAATATTGTGACAATGTTTTTTTATAATTAAATATTTTTTTGTTCTATTTTACTCTATCTAAATGATTTTTTATTCTCCTCCCGGCTCCCGCATTTCATAAGTTAATTTTTGTCTCAATGGCCAATGCCTTGGTTCAATTGCATCCTTATGTATTGGTCATAAAATATTATTTTAGATTGTATTGTTAACCAATAGATTGCAAAAATTTTTCAATTAGACAAATAAATACAATTACTTAGATAGCTAGTTGCCTAGATAGTAGATAATTACATTTTAATTTTATTATACATATATTTAAACAAATGGTATTCAACTGGCTATTTAAGTGTTAAATAATTTTTAA